TCCCTATAGGGCTACGAAGCGCTGTTCTGGGTGGGTGAAGCGCAGGGAACAAGGGCTGTGCTGGGTGGTGGCGGACGCAAGCGGGCAGTGCCACTGGGGCCTTTGGTGGAGCCCCTTATGGGGCCACGAAACGTGCGAGGGGTGTGCCAGAATGAGGTGTGGAACCGCATGCCAGCGCAGCCACTGGGGCCTTCGGTGGAGCTCCCTATGGAGCCACGAAACGTGTGAGGGGTGTGCCGACATGGGGGGCGGAACCGCATGCGAGCGCAGCCACTGCGGCGTTCGGTGGAGCTCCCTATGGGGCCACGGGACGTGTGAAGGGCGTGCCGAAAAAGGGGGTGGAACCGCATGCGAGCGCAGCCACTGGGGCCTTCGGTGGAGCTCTCTATGGGGCCACGAACCGTGTGAGGGGTGTGCCGAATTGACGGAGGGGAACCACATGCGAGCGCAGCCACTGGGGCGTTCGGTGGAGCTCCCCATGGAGCCACCCACGAAGCGTGTGAGGGGTGTGCCGAAATGGGGGGTGGAACCGCACGCGAGCGCAGCCACTGGAGCGTTCGGTGGAGCTCCCTATGGGGCCACGAAACGTGTGAGGGGTGTGCCAGAATGGGGGGTGGAACCGCATGCGGGCGCAGCCACTGGGGCCTTCGGTGGAGCTCCCTATGGGGCCACGAAACGTGTGAGGGGTGTGCCAAAATGAGGGGTGGAACCCATGCGGGCGCAGCCACTGGGGCCTTCGGTGGAGTTCCCTATGGGGCCACGAAACGTATGAGGTGGAGTGCCAGAAAGGGTGGCGTGGAACCGCACTGCGGGGGTGCACACTGGGGCCTTCGGTGGACTCCCTGTGGGCCACAAAGCCGTGTGAGGGTTGATGCCAGAATGGGGGGTGGAACCGCAAAATCAATGCGGCAGACGCGGGCCCCTGGGGCCTATCGGTGGAGCTCCCTATGGGGCCACGAAACGGTGTGCGGCAGGCTGTTAGTGCCACCAAGAATGGGCAGTGAACCGCAGCGGGCGCAGCCACTGGGGCCTTCGGTGGAGCTCCCTCTGGGGCCACGAAACGTGTGAGGGTTGTGCCAGAATGGGGGGTGGAACCGCATGCGGGCGCAGCCACTGGGGCCTTCGGTGGAGCTCCCTATGGGGCCACGAAGCGTGTGAGGGGTGTGTCAGAATGGGGGGTGGAACCGCATGCGGGCGCAGCCACTGGGGCCTTCGGTGGAGCTCCCTATGGGGCCACGAAACGTGTGAGGGGTGTGCCAGAATGGGGGGTGGAACCGCATGCGGGCCAGCCACTGGGGCCTTCGGGTGGAGCTCCCTATGGGGCCACGAAACGTGTGAGGGGTGTGCCAGAATGGGGGGTGGAACCGCATGCGGGCGCAGCCACTGGGGCCTTCGGTGGAGCTCCCTATGGGGCCACGAAACGAGTGAGGGGTGTGCCAGAATGGGGGGTGGAACCGCATGCGGGCGCAGCCACTGGGGCCTTCGGTGGAGCTCCCTATGGGGCCACGAAACGTATGAGGGGTGTGCCAGAATGCGGGGTGGAACCGCATGCGGGCGCAGCCACTGGGGCCTTCGGTGGAGCTCCCTATGGGGCCACGAAACGTGTGAGGGGTGTGCCAGAATGGGGGTGGAACCGCATGCGGGCGCAGCCACTGGGGCCTTCGGTGGAGCTCCCTATGGGGCCACGAAACGTGTGAGGGGTGTGCCAGAATGGGTGTGGGAGGGGGAGGAGTGGGGAGGAAGGGGAGGAGGAGGAAGGAGGAGGAGGAACGCGGGGCGACGTCTCTTCAAAACGAGGACCCAACACCACAGGATGGTTGGGAAAAACAGGCCTGGGCCCCTTCCTGGGGGACCAGCTTTTCATCCCGAGCACTTTTTGACGGCCCCCTGGGGCCCGGCAGAGTTCCCCAAAGGCCGAAAAGCATTACACAACGCCTCCCGTCGTGATCTGTCCACGACGCGAGGTGGACGGTTTCCCCCGGGGCCGTAGGCGACCTGAGGAGGAGGAGGAGGAGGAGGAGGAGGAGGAGGAGGAGGAGGAGGAGGAGGAGGAGGAGGAGGAGGAGGAGGAGGAGGAGGGGTCGCCTAAGCCCTTCGGAGAAACCCTCCAACGCAAGGATGTCAGGATCCTCCAAGGATGTCAGGATCCTCCAGATCCGTGGCACCAGGAAGCTGGCAGCACACGTGGCCGAATCCACGGGTGGAACATCCGGAGGCCACGCGCTCGATACACTTGCAGATGCACGGCCTGCACGGCCGCGGAAAGGCCGAGCGTTGGCAAGACATCGAGCCACGTGGTATCCAGATCTCGCCCAGGCCGGCCGCGTCATGCGTATCCAGCTTTCTCCTGACCCTCCCCCTCACGGGGAGAGATATTGGCCCAGGGGGCGGAGGCATCGACCTGGAATCGGCGGCGCATCGCCGATGGATCGGCGACAGGCCCCCAGAAGCGAAGCCGTGCGCTGCTGGACCGGAAAGGGCGGGCGGGCCTGGGGCCTAGGCCCCGATTGGCGATGAGTGGGCCTCTGGGGATCGATACTCCCTTCCCCCCGTGGGCCAGCACTCTTTCTTGATTCGGCCTGCGGCGCGGGCGTGTCCCTCATCCTCCTGCATCCGTCCTCGCCCTCCTCGTCCTGCTCGTCCTCCTCCGTCTCCTCCTCCTCCTCCTCCTCCTCCTCCTCCTCCTCCTCCTCCTCCTCCTCCTCCTCCTCCTCCCCGTCCTCCTCCTGCTCCCCGTCCTCCTCCTGCTCCTCCCCTCCCTCACCGTCGCTCCATCCTCGTCCTCCTTTTTTTTGGTTTTTTTTTCCCCTGCTGCGTTGCCTTCCGACCCCCGCCTCATCCGGACCGGTTGCAGCTTAGGGCCGTGGCCCTCGGGCCAAACGTCCGGCCACCGCAGACCCCACCCGAGGCCCCACCCGAGACCCTCCCCGAAGCCCTCCTCCTCCTCCTCCTCCTCCTCCTCCCCTCCTCCTCCCCTCCTCCTCCTCCTCCTCCTCCTCCTCTCCTCCCTCCTTCCCTCCCCTCCCTCCCCTCCCTCCCTCCCTCCCTCCCTCCCTCCCTCCCTCCATCCCTCCCTCCCGCTCTCCCTCCTCCTCCCTCCCTCCCTCCCTCCCTCCCTCCTCTTCCCTCCTCCTCTCCGCCTCCTCATCCTCGTCCCCTCCTCCTCCTCCTCCTCTTCCTCCTCCTCCTCCCTCCTCCCTCCTCCTTCCGTTCCTTCTCCTCCCCCGACCCTCCCCGAGACATCCCCCGCGTCTGGCGCGTAAGCGTCGACCTTTCTCTGCTTAGGGCAGCGTTCCAGTCCGAACGGCATCGCCGCATCTGCGTCCCCAGCGAGACCCTCCCCGAGACCCTCGCCCGAGGCCCTAGAGACCCTCCCCGAGACCACCCCCGAGACTCTCCCCGAGACCCTCCCCGAGACCCTCCCCGAGGCCCTACCCGACACCATCCCCGAGGCCCTACCCGAGTCCCTCCCTGGGCATCCCCTCGCACGACGGAGGGAGCGGCACGGATACCGCTGCCCCTCTGTGGAGGCCTCGCCGCCGGGCCATCCTTGTTCGGACCGCCCCGTGGGTGCCCAAGGCCCAGGGGTTCTGCCATTGGCCCCCGCGTGAGCGACGATCAAAAACGAGCCTTACGCGAGGTGGCACATCGACCTTGCGCCGCGGCTTACGCGGGCCGCCGGCGCGGCGCGCCACATGGGAGACGAGGGCGCCCACGCGCGACCTTACGCGGGCAGCTTACGCTTACGCGCCAGCATCAGCGAAACCGACCCCGCTTTTTTTGGCGTCGCGCAGGAGGAGGAGGAGGAGGAGGAGGAGGAGGAGGAGGAAGAGGAGGAAAGGGAGGAGGAGGAGGAGGAAGAGGAGGAAAGGGAGGAGGAGGAGGAGGAGGAAGAGGAGGAAAGAGAGGAGGCGGAGGAGGAGGAGGTGGAGGAGGAGGCGGAGGAGGAGGAGGAGGAGGAGGAGGAGGAGTGAGGAGGAGGAGGAGGAGGAGGAGGAGGAGGAGATGGAGGGAGGAGGAGGAGAGGAGGAGGAGGAGGAGGAGGAGGAGGAGGAGGAGGAGGAGGCGGAGGAGGAGGAGGAGGAGGAGGAGGAGGAGGTGAGTGGAAGGGGAGGAGGGGGGAAGGAGGGAGGGAGAGGAGGGAGGAGGAGGAGGAGAGGAGGAGGAGGAGGAGGAGGAGGAGGAGAGGAGGAGGAGGAGGAGGAGGAGGAGGGGAAGGAGGAGGGGAAGGAGGGAGGGAGAGGAGGAGGAGGAGGAGGAGGAGGAGGAGGAGGCAGCGCCAGCGCACTAAGATACGACAGGTTCGCGCGGCGTCGGCGCGCGCGAAAATGTCTGGCACCACGTCGATCGTTTCACCTTGAACTGATCGCGCCCCCGATCGTTCCAAGTTGGATCCCGTCGGGTCCTGTGGCGTTACCGTGTCCCTCGTTGCTTCCGCGTCTCTCCGCCGTGCGGAATTCAACCCTGAACGCCCTTCGCCCCATGAACCTACTGTAAGCTGGCGGGCACATGCAGACGAGGAATCCCTCCCCTCGTCAGCCCAAGCCTGGAAGCGGATGTGCCAGCACGTCAGGCAGCAGTGCTCCGGTGTTTCCTCCGTGCTGTCACGCTGACACCACTCACGTCTTCAGCCCGGGGAACGTTGGCCAGCGCCGATCCAAGAAGTCCGCGCGGAGCTCCGAAAATCAGTGCTCGCGCCGCTGTTTGTTCTTCGGCTACCACCCCACCCACCCGGCCGCCGTCCTCGTACTCGGCCGCGGCCTCGACTTCGGGCCGAGGACGACGAGGACGAGGACGACGAGGACGAGGACGACGAGGACGACGAGGACGACGAGGACGACGAGGACGACGAGGACGACGAGGACGACGAGGACGACGAGGACGACGAGGACGGGGACGAGGACGACGAGGACGACGAGGACGACGAGGACGAAGACGACGAGAACGGCCCATACCATCACACCCACCCTGGCTGCCGCCCCCGACTGCCGCGGCGCCTCTCAGCGCCGGCCGGCCGCCGCCAGCTCCCGCAGGGCGGGCGGCGGCTGTTGCCCCGCCTTCTGCATGGCCTGCCAGATCCCGTAGGCCAGGCGGACCACGTCGGGCGCGTACGACTGGGGGAACAGGGTGAGCGCGGTGCCGGTGGCCCCTGCCCGCGCCGTGCGACCTGCGGCGCGGGCGTGTCCAGTCTGATCCTCCTCCAGTCCTACTCGTCCTCGTTCTCCTCGTCCCCCTCGTCTCCTCCTCCTCCTCCTCCTCCTCCCTCCCTCCTCCTCATCTCCTCCCTCCTCCTCCTCCTCCTCCTCCTCCTCCTTCTCCCTTCCCTCCTCCCTCCTCCTCCACCTCCTCCTCCTCCTCCCTCCTCCTTGCCCTCCTCCTCTCCTCCTCCTCCTGCTTCCGCCTCCTCCCAGCCTCCTCCTCCTCCTCCATTCCTCATTTCTCCTTGTAAATAACTTCTCCCTGTCGCACCCCGAGGCCAGTTTTTAGGGCGGGGCCAGGCGTCCAGTTTGATCCTCCTCCAGTCCTACTCGTCCTCCTCGTTCTCCTCCTCCCCCCCTCCTCGTCCTCCTCCTCCTACTCTCCTCTCTCCTCCTCCTCCTCCTCCTCTCTCCTCCTCCTCCTCCCTCCTCCCTCTCCTCCTCCTCCTCCTCCTCCTCCATTCCTTCCCCTTGTAAGTAACTTCTCCCTGTCGCACCCCGAGGGCAATGTTTAGGGCGGGCCCGGCGTGTCGCCTGAGACTCCTCACCACTTATGACTGTGCAGTTTAAAAATGGCAAGAGTTTCACAGATGGAGGGCGGGTCGTTTTCAAAATGTGGCGCTCGCCTTAGCGCCGCGAACATTCGCTTCAAAAACTGAAGCAATGTTATGGATTGAGGTGAGTCGTTTTAAACATGTGGCTATCACCTTAGCGCCGCGCGCATTCATTCAAACAAATGCAAGAGCTGCACGGATTGAGGACGGCTCCTTTTCAACATGTGGTTCTCGCCTTCGCGCCGCGCACACTCGCTTCACAAATTTGCGAGAGCTTCACGGATTGACGGCGGGTGGTTTTCAAAATGTGGCTCTCGCCTTAGCGCCGCGCGCACTCGTCTTAAACATTTGCAATACTTGTTTCGTTGATTGAGGGCGAATCGTTTTCAAAATGTGGTTCTCGCCTCAGCGCCGCACACACTCGTCTCAAAAGAATTGCCGGAACTTCACGGATTGAGGGCGGTTCCTTGTGGCTTTCGCCCTAGCGCCGCGCACATTCGGTTAACAGTTTCACGGATTCCCATGGCCAGCGTAACAGAAATGATGTTCTGGAAGGATTTAGGTTTATGAAGGTGCACAAGTTGTGTTGCTCGCGGTGTTCAACTCCCACGAACGGCGTTCTGGCACCATTCAGGATCGTCGAGACGCAACAGTCCGTCTGATCCGTGGCGTCGAGACTCGGAACACAATATTTTGGCATGCGTCAGGGTCTTCAAACAGTTGCCTTCCAACGAGGCAGCTCCCTCAGCAAAAGTGAACCGTTGTACGAGCCTATGAAGAGGGAGCTTGGAGCGAGGGTTAATTCCAACATAGTTGATACCTGTTGGGTTTACACTGGTCCTTCTCCTTCTCCCTGTCATCCACCTCCTCCTCCTCCTCCTCATCCTCCTCCTCCCTGTCCTCCTCTTCCTCCTCCTCCTCCTCCTCCTCCTCCTCCTCCTCCGCATCATCGTCCCATCCTTGTCCTCCTTCCTCCCCTAACGTTGCCCCGGACCCCCGCCTCGAGCGCGGCCTAACCGACCCCTTCCGTGACGAGCACCTTCCGTGACGTCCCCCTCGCCCTCCAGGCGTCCCTCTTGCCGCATACGTCCGCCTCGGGGTGGGGCGAGGGTGACGTCGCGGAAGGTGACAGTTTGCTAGGAGTTGGTCAGGCCGCCCCTGAGGTCCTGGTGGCCCCCGCCGGCGCTGTGCGACCAATCCGATGGATGTAGTCCTCGAGGTTTTTGGGAATGTCGTAGTTCACGACGTAATTGAGCTCCTTGACGTCAAGCCCGCGCTGTGCGACGTCCGTTGCCACGAGGATGGTAGTCCTCCCGGACTTGAAATCTGCCAAGATCCGGTCTCGCCGATCCTGCTCCTTGCCACCATGGATGGATTCAGCTCTGAAGTCCGCTTGAAGATCACGGGCGAGCGAGTCGCAATCACGCTTCTTGGCGCAGAACACGAGGACCCTTTCCCCTCCTCGGGCTACCTTCTGCACAAACTGCAGGAAGACCTTCCGCTTCTCTCCCTCGTCCACGACGTGCACGAGCTGCTTGATCTTCGGGTTCGTGGTCAGCTCCTCCGAGCCGATGGTCACCTTCGGGGACGGACAGACCCCCCTTTGGCAAAACGTGGCTTGGTGAAAACGACCCGACGCACAAATTCTGGCGGGCGCAGGCCTGGAAAATGACGGCCACGGCGCCCTCTCGAGAACCGAAAGCGGACAATTCATTGATCGACGTGTCACTGTTAGCAAGGGCTCCCAACTTCGCGCTTCGCGCTGCGCGAAGCGCGAAGTGCGAATAACTTCGCGCTCTCGCGCCGCCTCCCAGGGAAGAAGAGGAGGATGAGGAATCGGAGCCGAAGTGCGAAGCGCGAATAACTTCGCGCCCTCGAGGGCGCCCTTGGTTAGGGGCTCTGTCCACCCCCGACACCTTCACGGGCTCCTGCTGGCAGAAGTCGCGGGCCAGGCGCTGAATCTCCCGCGGCCACGTGGCCGACCACAGCAGCGTCTGCCGGTCCGGCCGGATCTGAGAGACCACCCTCCGGATCTGCTTACCAGCCTGGAGCATATCCCTATCCCTATGCCGGGCATCTCCTCATCACGATGCCGACCTTAGGGATTCCCTTCTTTTTTGAGGGCGCATCCCTAAGATCGTCACCGCCTCTTGGCGTGTCAATCTTGGGGATAGGGATACGTTGAAGGCTGGTAGTCTGTGGCTCGAAGCCCATGTCCAGCATCCGGTCGGCCTCGTCCAGGACCAGGTAGGACACGCGCCGCAGACAGGTCTCGCGCGACTCCACGAGGTCCAGGAGGCGCCCGGGCGTCGCGACGATGATCTCGACGCCGCCGCGGAGCTGCGACACCTGGCTGTGGCGGCTGGCGCCGCCGTAGCAGGCGACGCAGCGCACCGCCGTGCCCCTCGTGAACTTCGTCGCTTCCAGCTGTATCTGCACTGCCAGCTCCCTGGTCGGGGCCAGCACGAGTGCGATCGGGCCCTCGCCTGGCTGAACCGGGGGCTGCGCGGCCATGTGAACCAGGGCGGGCAGCAGGAAGCCGAGCGTCTTGCCGCTGCCGGTCTGGGCGACGGCCACCATGTCACGGCCCGAGAGAGCTGCGGGCCATCCTATGCTCTGAATCGGCGACGGCCCAGGGAAGCCTGCCGCCATGACTAGCTTCAGCAGGTCGTCGGGAAGACCGATGTGGCTGAAGGATTGCAAGGGCTTGGGATGCGGCTCCTTGCCTTCGACGCTGGCGTCTAGCTTCTGCATCAAAGCTTTGACCTCATCTTGGCCCAGAGCCGCAACTTCGGGGTGCTCCGAGTAGAAGCTCTTTTGAATTGGCTGCATCGACTCGAGGTTGAATTGCTGGGTCTGCAGGGTCTGCCCAGCATTATTTTGGCTAGATCTGTCAAATCCACTTCTCTGCCGACGGAAGCCACCATCCCGTCCATCGAAGCTGTCACCACCGAAACCACCCTGGTAAGTGCTTCTGCCTCCCTGGTTGTATGAGCTGCGCTCGCCGTAGTCCTGATAGCTGCGCAGGCCAATATGCTGCGTAGATGCGCAGCAGACTGGCATCACAGCACCCATACAAGGCTTGGTGCAGCGAGCTCTAGCCGTGCAAGCAGGAAAAGCGCCTGATAGACCTCGCATCATTTTCGCTACGACTGCAACTCGTCAGAAATGGGGCTGAAGCGCTGAACCTCCAAAGCTTGAGCTCAAATGGCTGCGGTGCGCTTCGACTTACCACTGGAACGGATTGTGGACGCATGTTGGGCAAGGGAGGTTGTTTCACTGCCGATTTCACTCGCACGCATCGCCGCCGTGTATCCTGAGCTGAACGGGCTCATCAAACCTCCCTCTGGCCTGTGGGCCGCAACCCCTGACGCAGACCGAAGGGGAGACGACTCTGTGGTGGCCAAGCCCGGCCGCCTTCGCACTGTCAGGCCACGGCGCAGCGCGGAGCGCAGAAGACGAGCGCGCAAGGGATAACCCCGTGCCGGCCCACAAGATCCAGAGGAGAAGGACGACGACGACGACGACGACACGAGCACAGGGGGGGGAACGAAAGACGGGGCGACAGGGGAGAGGAAAGAAGCGCAGACTCGGGCGGGTGGCAAGGGAGGGGGGACCTGACTAGGGGGTGGAGAGAAGGGGCCCTCAAGGGGGCCCTCCTCTCCACATCTTGTGTAGGTTTAGGTCGGGCATGTCCTCCTACAGCCGGATTCTCGAGGAAGAATAAAACATAGTCAAAACATGCTCCCACGTGGCCCAAAATAGTCGGAAGATCGTCCCCAGACTATTCTTGTGACTGTGTTGGAACACTCCTCCTGTAGAGGGACAGGCCCGACTCAAATGTACACGTCGTTCGTTTCTAATCGTGCCCATTTCTAATTGTGCTCGTTTCTGATTGTTCCTGGCCCCCTACTGGCCAGGAAGAGGCCCGGGATAGAACACTTAGAAATGAGAGGACCTTGGTCCCCCAAAGAAAAATCCGAGCATCACCGAAGAATCAGAAGCGAACAGTGTGTAGGCCCCCCCCTCCTTTGCCGCCCGCCCGACGGATGCCCTGCTCCGTGTCCGCGACTTCGCGGTCTGGCCGCCTCGGCCGCGGCCCCTGCCGCGCTGCGACGTAAACATGGTGTGATGGGCCTGTCTTCTGCCACCACCACCATAAGTTGGAGGGGGAGGGGGTCCTCCTCCTCCTCCTCGTCCTGTTCCTCCTCCTCGTCCTGTTCCTCCTCCTCGTCCTCCTCCTCCTCCTCCTCGTCCTCCTCCTCGTCCTCTTCCTCCTCGTGCTCCTCCTCCTCCTCCTCCTCCTCCGTGGATCCGGGGCGGCGCTGCGTGCGCGGCTGCCCCCACCCTCGGAGCGCAGCCGTGGGGTGGCGCCGTGGGGTCCAGGGCCGCAAGGGGGCACGGCCGTGGACAGCCGCCCGTCGCTCGCGAGCGAAGGCCCCTCCCCTGGGGGGCCTGGACGGAGGAGGAGGAGGAGGAGGAGGAGGAGGAGGAGGAGGAGGAGGAGGAGGGGAGGAGGAGGAGGAGGAGATGGAGGAGGAGGAGGAGCACCCTCGGAGAGCGCAGCCGTGGGGTGGCGCCTCGGGGTCCAGGGCCGCAAGGGGGCACGGCCGTGGACGGCCGCCCGTCGCTCGCGAGCGAAGGCCCCTCCCCTGGGGGGCCTGGACGGAGGAGGAGGAGGAGGAGGAGGAGGAGGAGGAGGAGGAGGAGGAGGAGGAGGAGGAGGAGGAAGAGGAAGAGGAGGAGATGGAGGAGGGGAGGAGCACCCTCGGAGAGCGCAGCCCGTGGGGTGGGCCTCGGGTCCAGGGCCGCAAGGGGGGGCACGGCCGGGACGCCGCCCGTCGCTCGCGAGTGAGGAGGGGGCCTGGACGGAGGAGGAAGAGGGAGGAGGAGGAGGAGGAGGAAGGAGGAGGAGGAGGAGGAGGAGGAGGAAGAGGGGGGGGCAGGAGGAGGAGGAGGGGCAGGAGTAGGAGGAGGAGGAGGAGCAGGAGGAGGAGGAGGAGGAGCAGGAGGAAGAGGAGGAGGAGGTGGAGGAGGTGGAGGAAAAGGACCAAGGTAACCCAAGACGCATCAACGATGCTGCAATGCATCCTCCCTCCAAGTGCCCTCTTCATAGGGCCTCGCAGGAATATAGCTCGGTTGCGGGGAACGCCTCGTTTGAAGGCAACCGTCTGATGATCCTCACTCGTGCCAACACACCATTCCTGGAGCTGCAGCGTCGCGAATCAACGTGACTGATGCGTCCTGACAATCATAGATCGTGCCAGAACACTGTTCCTGATACCTCAAAACTGCGAACCCACGTGACTAGTGCGTCTTGACAATCCTAAATCTTGCCAGAACACCCTTCCTGGGACTTCGACCATGCGAACCCTTGAATAGGGTGCAAACTCTTGAAATACATCTGCGCAGCGCAAGTGCGATAATCAAATGTTTGAAGGAGCCGCCCTTCAGGTTCGAAGCTGCCGCAAACACGGAACGACTGTGCGCGGCAATGCAGTGATAACAACATGTGGAAAACGGCCGCCTTCCAAGGAGTGTTCTTGGCCAGCGACAACTTGCCGTCGCTCGGACGTCCATTTCCCGTGCATGTTTCGGTTTCGTGCGAGTTTTGTTGCTCGATGGTCCAGGATGGTCCTCGATGGCTTTCGCCGCTAAAAAATGCACACGTCCGAGCGATGCCAAGACAAGGTGTGCTTGTGGCTAGCAGGAGCGCTGGATGCACCTCGGATGGTCTGGCGCCGCCTGCCGCCCGAAAGAGGCGATGGACATCGCGCGCGCTGGCCGCGGAGGGCTCTAAGGCCTAAGGCGGCACCGACGCGAGCCAGCAGGGCGCGCCAGCGACGAGAGCGCACTCTTTAGTCAGCGGCCGCGGGCGAACGCGCCGGCGGCGAGTCAGGTCAAAGCGCGCTACGCAGCGACAAATTAGGCAGAAGCAGCGGCAACAGGCCACGCCGAACGCGGCCAACCGAGGCCTCGCGCGGCAACCCAGACGCGACGAGAGGGCACGCGGCACGCGCTGCCAGGAAGACTGAGCCGGCACGCCCGACGGCAAAATCAAAGGCAAGCCTCGCTGCGAGCCGCAGAGCCACGCGGGTTCCGCGCTGGCGGGGCGGGTGGCGCGAGTCTGAAAAAAGTGAAAGATTTCCCCCCCCCCCCCCCCCGGAGCGCGATGGTCTTCTGGCCGACGCGGCCCTGATCCCCGGCCGCCAGAGGGCGGGCGACCCCGAGGACCGAAACAGGACCAGGACGAAACCGACGAGCTTTCAGCTCCAGGGGGGGGAGGAATCGGACGGCCTCTCGGGGACAGCCGCCGCGGTGCGACTGTGCGCGCGCACGCGCCGAGCCGGCCGCGGCGGCCGCGGCGGCCTCCGTGCGTGGCCCACCCGGAGCCGAGAAGGACCAGGGTGTGGCCACGCCGCCGCCGGGCGCCCGCCCTTCTTGGCCACCGGGGCCTCCTGCGTCAGCACCCCGCAAGCGCTGCCGCCTCGATCCGCGCGGCGCTTCCTCTCAGCTCGGGCGAAAGGGGGGGATAGCGAAGAGGGGGGCTTGAGACTCAGCTCACGCAGCTGATGTTCCCGGCGCCTCCCCGCGCCGGAGGCGCCCCTGCCTCGAGGAATGGGCCCGGCGGCGGGGCCGAAACCGGCTGCATGCAGCAGATTTCCGACCCCCCTCCGAGGCTTCCTGGCCGGGCCGACACCTCCATGGCCGTAATTACCCAAGGCGTCCGAAATGCCCAATCTGGCTTTCCAAGACGGAACTGGCAGCCACCGAGGCCACCAACATTGTCCAAGATGCCTCTAAGGCGGCCCGAGATGTCTCAAAGATGCCCTGAAGACGGCCGAAGAGGCTCTCAAGACGGCCCACGAGAGCTTTTCGCCCGGCCCGACCTTCTGACGTGCACGATCGGCACGGGCAGCGTGCTCGGCCTCGACCGCGTCCAGCACCTGCCCGGCCAGAGGCGGAGAGGGCCTCGGCCGGCGGCAGCGAGAGCCTCCTGGAGCCGCGAGGCCCTGCAAGAGAGAGCTGGCCCGCGCCTTCTCTGCAGAGCTCGGCGGCCTCGTCCAGCTTGAGCGTGTCACCGACACATCGATGTCACAGAATGCAGGCAATTTGCCCTCGTCCACGAGAACATCAGCAGGCAGGCGCTGCGGATGGGGGGCCACATGCGAGCCCTGCCCCTACCCCCCACGATTTCTGAGGGGGGGGGGGGTTCACTTCGCTCGGGAGCTCCCGAGCGAAGTGAACCCCACCCTCCCCCTCAGAAATCGTGGGGAGTAGGGGTAGGGTTCGCATGTGGCCCCCTAGCGGACCAGCTGGGCGTGCTCCTCCTCGGACTCGACTGGCTCGGCACGCAGCTGTAGGATGACCGTCAGTTGCGCCGCCAGCTGAGCCTCGATCGTCCCGAACCGACCCGCTGCCTGATCCAGCTTGCGCTCCACCCGCTTCGAGTTTTAGCGCGCCTCGTTAAGCCGCACCTGCAGAGACTCAGGCGCAAGCTGAGGGCCAGCGAGAGCCATGGCAGCCGTGCGGTGAGCTGCCGCCTCGCGCTTGCGGCCCAGCTCCTCGCACACGTCGGCCAGCAGCGAATACTCCTGGGCTGAGAGCGGAGGCGACGCAGAAGCCTGCTTGCCACCGCCGCCACCGTCTCCCTTCCTTCCGCCTTTTGGCACCGCCAGTGGCCCCAGGATGAGGGGAGCCAGCGGAGAGGGAGAGCTGGGAACCGACAGGCCACGCAGCACCAGGAACGATGACCTCGGAGTCGGGTCTGGAGGTAGGGGCGAGCTTCGCTCCTTGGAGCAGCCGCAGCACGAGCACTTCCATCCCTGCCCGCTGCCGGCAGCGCGAGCCCCGGGCCGAGGAAGAGAAAATGCCGAGGTCCAGGGAGCAAGCGGCGGCCGAGCCCGCAGGCCTGGGCGCCCGCGGACCCGCGACTCGCGCCGCGAAGGGCCGCCAGCGGCGTGCTGCGCCGAGCCGTGCCACCCTCTATATGCCAGGCTGCCCACGAGGCTGCCCTGCATCTGCCGCCCCTGCCGCCCCCGAGCCGCCTGCCGTGGCTGCTGCAGGAGACGTCGTGAGAGAACGAGGGAGAGGCCCTCGGCCGAACGGAACGGATGCTGGGCCAGGGGCCCGCAACGGCA